GTTTAAATTGTTACTGAAAGCGAAGATGGGAACACTGATTTGTTTGAGTTATTTTGCATTATTGCGTCATTAAAATATTTTACTCCTGATTCAATGCTACTAATATTATAACAACCACACTGGAACTGGTGGGCTATAATGTGAGCTTTAATCCAATTTGTTTCACAACTAAACTTTTTGGTCAAATTCAAAGAAGCTCTGGTGTATTTGTGTGTTGTGATTGGTTCCCGTTACCGTTTCATGTGTGGATTATTTTCTCAAACGAACCACACCTTGAAAATACTGTTGTTTGGTACCAGACGGCCACCTCAGGCTCTAAAGAATGAAGCCACGTCGTCTTAAAAACAGCATGAAGAGCATTGAGTAAAACGTGGTCCCGTTTAGAGTAAAATGGACCATGAAGCAGGTTTCGCTCCCACTTCTGTTTGCAAAATACCAAGATGGTGCCGGCTATGTTCAACACTGTAATCTACAAACGTATTCAGTGGAATGGTTTCTTCCTGGACAACGTTATCTTTCAAATGCTTATGAGTATTTCAGTGTGAATGTCCATATCCATATGCCTTTTGTGTTTACAGCCCACGCTTTTATATGTAATGTTTCATTTATTGACAATAAAAGTCTCAGTACAACCATCCTACGTTAGGCGCTTTGCTCGATTCAGCTTTTTCTTCCTTCCAGACGGCAGCGGAGTTACAGGTGTGGAAGCGCCCTCGATCGCCTCCTACTCGTTGGGACGTTTTAGACAAGAGGCGTGATTTATTGCTAAGTAAAGAATATCATCTTTCTTCAACATCAATCAAGCGCTGCTTAGTGACTGAAACTCTTAAGTTGATTTGCTCCATAAGTTAGTAATTATGAAATGGAAGTGAATGAAAAACAGGTGGCCGGTGGGAAGCAGATGGACGTAGTTGTGTGTGATCATCATCAATAACGTGAAGTTATTGTGCCACTAAAAATATGTTACATTCCAAGTGTCCACTGAGTTTAGTTTATTTAATCAAATATATTTTTGTGTAAACATCTTGTATTAATACACCGTGCAGTTTAAGATGAGAGATTAGACTTTTAAATGTTACTGAAGTTGAGAAAAAGTGCACGTTGTGGACTTGGATGTGAGCGCAGGCTCCGGTGCAGGAGAGACGTTTGTTTGTGCATAAAACAGGTGTAAGCAGTGAGCTGTACGAGCCCCATTAACTCTAACTGCGTGTTCACCCCGTCCCATGCGGCTTGACGTGCATATTTATTGATCATTAAACCAGAAGACATGAGCCTGGTCCTCCCGTCGTATAGGAGCGGCCCGAGGGCCGAGTTCTGATTCTCCACAGCGTCACCTCGACGTCAGACCCCAATTACCGAAATTCCCCTTTTATCTCACTTCCTGTCGGTGCATTCTGAGGTCACCGACGGAATCTAACCGCCACTGTGAGCCACGATGCCGCGTGTGTTTGTATGAGCTGCTGCGTTAACCCCCCTCCTTGAATGTTTAGACACTTCAGCTGTTAAATAAGAAATTAAAACAGCATTACATTACATTACATTACAGGTCATTTAGCAGACGCTTTTATCCAAAGCGACTTACATTACACTTTAAACCCATGGCTTTTTTCACATTTTGCCCGGGGACAATTAGGGGTTAGGTGTCTTGCTCAGGGACACTTCGACATGGAACATGGGGCAGCCTGGAATTGCACTTTTTAAGGATCCACTCCCCAGTGGACCCAGTGTGTGTCGTTCTTATTTAGTGCCACATAACATTTCTGGAGTAAAGAACACTCGCGCTGTTTCACATGGCGGAATTCCCACAAAAAAACAACAAAAAAAACCCGCTTGTTTTGATCGAGTATGTTTGAGTTGATTTTGGTCCCCTGCTGATTACACGCATAAAAAACAAGTTCCCCCGGGTTTTGTTGCTGTAGTGCGAGTCGAGCGAGGGTTAACATGAGCAGCGCAGTGTTCCCTCCTCCTCGCACACGCACACGCATCCCGCCCAGGAGAGGAGGGACTGGTAGCAGCTCTTGAGAGCCGGCAGTCTTTCGCTGCCAGTCTGCTCTCCCCGGCTGCCTCGGCGTCCTCTGGCCTCCTCCCTCCATGGGACTGCAGACCTGGCCGCCCAGTAGACCGCTGTCCCCCATGGCCTGCCTCGATGTGGAGACCCCCTCCATCTGCAGGGGTAAATTTAAATCAGGTGATTTATGTTTTCCATTGTGTAGTGTGCATGCCGTACAGAGTTTTAGACTCGTGTTCTCGTGGATAGTTACTTTTGAAAAGCAGTCACAGAGGGAAAGAGGGAATACTGCGTTTGTACTCCCAATGTATATATTGGCACTCTGTTGAGACACTGTTATGGTTTTCTATCACATAATACACAAATTTACTCCGGCTATGTAAGTTCATACAAAGAACTTCATTCAGGTGAAGTGCAATAACCAGATATGCGTCCGATCAAGATGTTAAACATTATTTGCATGTTTTAAATTTCCCTTGTTTGCATTCATCTGCAGCAAATTCCTTTTTACTAGACGTGGCCCTGAGTAAAGTAGACTACAAAAAACTGTCTTTGAATGATAACCGTGTTCTATTCCAGTTTACTTATTGTTACTTATTGTAACATCTGGGAAGTTCCATTTGATGCAAATAGTTTACAACTAAGCAGGTTCTTGGGAGTGCTTTCTGGTACAAGATTATGAATATATGCACAACATAAAAATCAATCAGTAAATGTGTGTTGTGGTGAATATGTATAACCGGAAAGTTAATCAAAATTTCATCATGCAAGAAGTGCAGGTTCAATGTGGATTGAAATTGAATTATTGACCTGATTAAAGATGACCATTTCTTAATTTGCCATCCCAGACTTGCATGACATCATCTCTTTGGCTTACACTACCCAGCAGTGGTTTAGACATTCATTTTTAAGTAAGAAATATTTAAAAATCCAGCTTTCAACAGCTGCATTTTGACTTCTATACATTATCGGTCCTTATTAACAATCATCTGATTCACTGTTCAAGCTTTGCTGATACATTTCTGCTCTGTTGAACGTATTAATGGTAAAAGCAGTGATGGAATAGTTATAGCTACTTTGTTTATAGACGATATACTTGTTTAGTACAGTATAAATAGACCTTTGGCCCCTTGAGAGTGGAACTTTAGAAATCATCTTAGGAAAATGCATCTGATCACAAACAACGTCATTATAGTCCTGGTTTGGTTCTCTGGTTATAGATGCATCTTGGCTGAAATTGGCCGTGCGTATTGTCACACTAAAATCGACATAACACACAAGTCAGTCTGTCTCTAAACTAAATTCAGCTTTGGTTTGCTTCCAGTTCTCTATGCATATGCCGAAAAATTTTATTATTGTGCGTAATGTTTCTAAAATACAAGCGGGGAAAGTAAAATGCAATGTCTTCATAGGAGATCTCGGGGGATGATTTACTGAGAACAGCATGGGTCTGAGATTAGCGATTACATCAGTAGACAGGGATTCCAGCAGAGCTCCACTACCTCTGTTACGCTCTGCTGGTGGGCACGAGAGCGGAGCCGCTTTGCATCGCGAGAAGGTTATCCAGGGTTCAGGTCCAGCACAAGCGGGCATGAGATGTGTAGCCTCATGCCCAAGTGGTGTGGGATCAAACTCTTCATTCTCTTGTGGAACCTGCAAGGCAGCTTCTGACGTTATTGATATGCAGCAAAATGCACCCGTAACATTTCTTGCCTGTGGCATTTTTTTTCCCAGAGTCACAGTGGACATGAATATTGAGACAAACCAACGGCATTTCTTTACAATCTCCTGGTATGATCGGCCGTAGACTGATCATACCCCCTCCCCCCCCCCTCCCCCCCCCGGCCCGGGCTTGTAATGGGAAGCAGGCGGGGCGGGCACACTGTGTTCTCTTCCCAAAAGTTGATGGGCTGCTGTGAGAGTGGACTCGGCCTCCCGCCCTTTTCCTCGCCACTTGTCACTTTGTGTTCCCTTGCCCACCAGTGGAAGCCAGTGAGCGTCTCCTCGGCTCTGCATACAACCAGAGGACCCCCCCCCCCCTCCCAACACTCCCCCTTAACCAGCCCTAAATTGCACGATTCCCAGGCCTTGTTCTCACAGCTGCCCAGTTTATTTTTGTAAGAGTGAGTCACAGAGCCTTGTTCAGACTCCTTTCCCAGGAGAGTGGAGCAGGTCTGTGTGTGTGTATGTGTGCGTGCGTGCATGCGTGTGTGTGCGTGTGTGTGTGACTGTGACTTGCTGTTTCCCCTGAGCCACTGAGTGGTTTTAGCCCGCCGTCTCTTCACCACAGTGGCGTGACAACAAGGGCCTCACGTACCTCACACCACCGCCTCATTTGTCTCCGTCACCCAGTACCTCTCCACGCTTTGCTTTTCTCTTTGTTATTCTTCTAAAATAACATGTCCACGCTCACTTCTTTATAAATGTTTGAGTTGGGATCTCACTGCAGTTTATGTTGGTGGGAAAATAACACGGCGGACCTTCCAAGTGTACGGGGGGGCCTGCACGCCAGGCTCAAGCGTTTCTGCTGGAAGACGTGTCGTGTCTTTGATATTCCACAACGACAATAACTGATCACGTCTTTCCACCCGGAGCTATTTATTAAATACATTCATTAGCGTCTCCACTGTTGCCCTTGGTGGTGACTGCAGCCCTGACATGGATTCCTTTTTTCATCCTTTTGTATACTTCACTACAGTTACTTTGTTTGCTCTGTGTATTTGCATTCACCAAGAGATATGGACTCTTGTCGGGAAGGTTCTTCTACAGCTTCGGCGCGCGGTAGGCTTAACAACCGTAGTTAAAACCACACAGGAAGGGGATAGGATGTCTGTGGTGGTGAGCATGGTTTGCTGTTGGGCCTCGGGCTAGTGTATTGATTGAGAAATAATAAGTACTGTGTTCCACTCGGGTTGTTAGATCGGCTCGTCGGACTTGGTTCTGGGAGGGTAAAAGTTCAACTTTGACCTCCTGTGTCTCTGTCCTCTCTCAGTCCTCCAGCTGCGTCTGCAACAGAGGAGAACTCGGGAGCAGCTCGTGGAACAAGGCATCATGCCGCGTAAGTGTTCTCATCAAACACAAACCACCCAGGCTTTGACTAAATGGAAACCAATTGACTCGTACAAGACGGTTACTTGTATGCCTCGTTTCTATGTTAGAATTGCCCTTTTCTTATTACCTATTATTTAGTATTAGTATTAAAGATGAAATTAAACTTAACATCCGACTTCCAGCAGCATCAAACCAAACTTCCCCAGGACTTGTCGCGGGTCTCAGTGTCGTTAAAACTCTTTTACTTGTCATTATGCAATTACTTGCTTTAAGTGTATTCACAGCAGCACACTGTGCATGTTGCTGTAAATGCACTTCAAACACGGCACTACTCGTGTAAACGTAGCCGGTGCTGAAAGCGACTCTCTCCCCCCTTTGGATGTGACTGGTAGCTGGAAACCTAGAAAGAGAAAAAGACGAAGCTCGTCCTTAATGTTCGGCCTCCTGCAGTCGTGCTTACGTCTCTCTGGCTCCACGCGGACACATGAGTCAGCGGCTGAGCCTCCGCTGGAGGTCAGTGGGCAATGACCTCCGAGGCCATTTTTCCTCCGCTGATAGCGCTGCGCTGCTCCCACGCCTACGAGCTCACGGTAGGTATGCGGTGAGGTTTAGCTGACGAGCCGGAGTGTTTGGCTTTGCCTCCTCTGACACACTCCTCCACCGTCCTCAATGCAAACAGCGGCCGTCACAGAAGAGGTGACCACTCAGTGAGCCAGACTTACGCAGGAGGAGTTTACCCTGCTCTGTAAACGTATCCATGATTAACTGGATATGACTCTCGTCCTGAGCCGGTGAAGCTGGTACTTCCTGTTTGACTCCCCATGAGCTCCAGCTTATTAATATCACACTCATGCAGAACTGAAAACAAGAAGATAATTATCTGAACGACGGTCCAGTCAGCGTGGAACGTGACTGTTGTGATGTCCGAGGGAAAAAATACGACATGTTAGTGCTCATCACTGGATACGCAGTTTAGGTTTGTGCATAGCATTGACATAAATCATGCTTATTTATATAACAAGTATTTGCTGCTGGATGTGGATGATTCAGAAGACATCTACAGGGATGTAGACTTGTTATATGTTTTATAACTTTAAACTGCTTATATTGTTTCATTACACATAATGTTTACATTAGAACTATTGTGTGGTTCACATTATTCCAATTTAGTTTTAGAGATCACACTTTTTGGGTGTTTCACTTATGCAAAAAACGCCTTTCAAAATAGTAGAATCTTAAATCAATAATGTATTATTTAAACGGAGAACAAAAGGACAGCATGCTTGTGTAGGTAATACAGTTATAACCAAGTTATTATAAGTTTTATTTTTTATTCACCCCTTCACAGCTCTGAAAACCCCTGCTGCCTTTCACGAGCAGATCCGCAGCCTGGAGAGAGCCCGGGTAGGACAGACATCATCACTGAATCAAAAGGATCCCCCCCGCCCCCCCTCCCCCACATATACAGTAAATACAATGATCTTTTTAACAGACCGGAAGCTTCTTAAAGCACAAACTCTGCAGCAGACCGCAGCGCTCCGAGCTGGTCCGCATGCACATCCTACAAGGTAATCTCCCTCCTGTGTGGTGTAACCGGGTAACGCCCTCTAGATAACGTGAATCCAGAATACGGTCCTTATGCATCCAATCTCACTTATTGCCCGTTTGAATTTGTTTGTAACCAGATAAATGCCATTGAGCCGGACGGAAGCGTTTGAGGTGTGGCGGAGCCTCCGTTGAGTCACCTCTGTTTCCGGATCGAAGCCAATGACCCTGTGTGTGTGTGTGTGTGTGTGTGTGTGTGTGTGTGTGTGTGTGTGTGTGTCATCAGAGACGCAGGCCGTTCCCTCCCTGCAGGCCACACAGATGAAGCTGAAGAAGGCCAGACTCACCGATGATCTCAATGAGAAGATCGCCCAGCGGCCTGGAGCCATGGAGCTGGTGGAGAAGAACATCCTGCCCGTGGACTCTGGTGTCGAGGAAGACGTGGACGGTAGCGCGACATCCGCATTAGCCTCAGCTCTGCTTTGAAAACTCCAGTTTTCCCCAGTTTGGATCGATCCTTCGAGTGTCATGAACTGTACTTGCGTCTGACGTCGGGCCAACAGGTGGCGAGGCAAACGGCTCCAAGCCAGCAGACGTTTTCAGCTTCGACGAGGACAGCAGTGATGCCTTATCGCCACGACAGCCTGCCAGCCAAAAATATCTCCGCTCCGCCGCTCAAAGGGGGTCCGGTGGGACCGAGGCCACTTCTGCCTCCTGTTACTTAGACTCTCGCATACAGGTACAAAAAACACCGCGAACCTTTACAATTTATTCTTTAATAAGTTCTTTAATCTTTGAAATCTTCAATGCAGGCTTGAATGTGTATAATTCTTTTAAAAAAAGCCAGACAAAGTTGTGTTTAGTTTACTTATTGGAAAGATCATTTTAAGGTTATGTGCTGTATGCAGTTACATAGTATTTATCATTCATAGAAACATCTCGTATTATCTCATAACATTGATATGTTCGATAAGTCTTTCCCTGCGTGGGATGATGATTAACCGGCATCGCAGCTGGACGGTTCTTTGATGAACGGCTCTTGTGGTTCCTCTCTGTCTGTGGTTTTCTCAGCACTCCCCACCGACCAGCACACAGTCCACATCAGACGTAGTCGTCCGTCTCCCCACCGGTGAGCAACAGAGCAAACAAGCAGCGTCCACACTGCGGCCCGTCACCCCTGTGGTCCCCAGCGCGGCACCGGGGCCGCTTCTCGTCAAGGTTGGCTTCAACTGTTCAACAACGTTTAACTTATTCAAAGGGGGATTATTTTTTTTAGGAGATAATCTGAATTTAATTCACTTACAGCCTCCTTAATGTTTAGGACCAGCTGACAGGAAATGGACTTCCTTTACTGAGCCCTTCGTCCCTCTGATTTATTGGCTTTGTTTTTGTTTTCTTTTTTTGTTTCCTTGGGAAATGTGATGAGGTTTGCAATGTCAGAAGACACAGAGTCTGTGTTTTGATACTGTTTGATGAAGGCCATGTCAGTTTTTAGAATGAACTGAAATCCAGCGCAGTTCAAAGAACTGAAGTTTGAATTCATTACAGAAGATCCTCGTTCGAAATGTTTGACCCCAATTAGGGTCAAATGGCAGGCTGGCCTTCCTCATTCGGGCTGCGCGAAATCTAAGCCAGAAATCCAAGGACGGCAGTGAAGCAATATGGTTTCATTCATCACGATGGCCTTATCCCCCCTCTGAGCATAAGCCGAACTCTCCCTGCATTGGAACACAATAGGAGTTTGACAAATTAAGGCGTCCGCTCGCTTAACCCGGCTTGGGTTTCTGGTTTCACAGCCAGAGCCTGCTGCTCGTCAGCCAAGCTGTTTTCATGGGTATCCTGTAACTGCAGGTGGTGAAACAATGGAGCTCAGATGGCCACTACCCGTTTCCTCATCCTGAGCTTTTCATCGGGTGTCAGAACAATGTTCTACCTTAATGATTCAATCAAACAAAAACACAGTATTGGTTCCACGTCTTGTAGTGTTGGTGCTGGCACTGCTCACTCCGTTCCCTGATAAATTGGACTGAGATCAATCACAGGAATCAAATATCCTCCAGATGGTCCTCTCAACGTTTACATGCCCTTTTCTACTTTTATGATCTGCAGCAAAGCCTGCCCAGGCTACCCAGCGATAAAAGCCGCAGCAAAAAGAGCAAAGAGCCCAAACCACGTGTGAAAAAATTGAAGTACCATCAGTACATCCCCCCGGACCAGAAGCAGGAACTCCATGAAGTGCTGATGGACTCGGCTTATGCCCGTCTCCTGCAGCAGCAGCAGCAATTCCTGCAGCTTCAGATCTTGAACCAGCAGCAGCAGCAGTACAGCTACCAGTCGGCCCTGCCTGCCCCACGCAAGTACGGCTGCATTTGTAAACACGTCCACAGCTGCTGCGTGTCTCACATGCTTAAAATGCCCCGTCCACAGCGTCCTACACAAATGCTAAAAGCTTAGCTTTCCTCTCTAATCTGTCCCCCCCTTTTTATTTCTACAACAGACCGGCAACTGAGGTACAAAGCAGCTGTTCCAGCGTTGTTCTAAGTGGAAAGGCCGCGTTGAGCCCGGTGCAGTCCCGTCAGGCAAACCGCAGGCCGGATCGTTTACCAGCTAATCTGGACGAAATGAAGGTGACGCATTGCTGCCCGCACACAATCTTAACTAGTTTCGAGAAGTATTTTATGACAATGTGTTCTCTTTACAGGTTGCTGAGCTGAAAAGGGAACTAAAACTCCGATCTTTGCCTGTTTCCGGGACCAAGCTAGATCTAATAGAGCGGCTGAAGTCGTACCAGGAGAACTCTGACTGTCGGATTGCTGCTGTCAATGAAACGGCAGCCTCGCAGTCGGACAACAAGGCGTTGACGCCGCCGGTGTCGCCGGTAGCCAGCCTGGGCGCAGATGACGGTCGAATGGCCGACAGCCCCGCCGAGCTCCCAGAAGTTCCGTCTTCGACCCCCTCTGTTGCCCGCGTGAACTTCCCCCCGAGAGCTCCAACGGAGGAGTGTCCCCCAGAGACGCGGCCCTACGAGAAGGACTCTGAGAAGGACAAACGTCTCCATGATAAGGAGCGTCAGATTGAGGAGCTGATGAGGAAGCTGGAGCAGGAGCAGAGGATGGTGGAGGAGCTGAAGATTCAGCTGGAGGTGGAGAAGAGGTGCCAGCAGGCGGATTCTCCCGCTCAGCTCACGCCTCTTCCTCCCGTCCAGGTCAAAGAGGAAAGCAGCACCAGGTCAAGCTGCTCTGCGTCTTGCATATCTCCTGGTCTACCAGCGTTGGTCAAACAAGAGGACGCGGTCCTTCAAAATCATTTCATCGTCTGCGAACAGACTTTCAAGCAGCCGAAAATGTTGCAGTCAGTCAACGCCGGAGGTCAGACCCCCCAACCTGCTGCCTCCGCGGTGACCGTCCAGCTTCCCACCAGCAGCATTCAGGTGCACACTGCTGTTAGCAGCGCAACACAAGGCCTCATCCGGACCTCTGGGCAGGTGCCGCAGGAAGGGGAGGCTTCAGCTGCGTTACAACATCAATGCAGCACTGGGACTCTGACAAAGGTGAGGAAACTCATCCTCGGCCCCTCGCTTTGAGTCTTCACCATCAGTTTCGATACATTTGCCGAACTGCGATAATACATTGTGTTTTTTTATTGGGTAAATTCAGGTGAAGTTGCACATCATGCTGATCAAACATCACAGGGTTTTTGGTAATGCCTCTTTCTTGTTGCCACAGTAATGACAGGCCTGACATCCTTCCCCATTCACATGGAAGTAAGGCTTGTGGAAACTTACTGGAGCGGCCACTGAGGGAAGGTTGACAGTAGTGCTCTGTCGTCCCTCTGCGCCGAGCCGACCTACAGCCGGTCAGAATTAGCAACAGAAAACCACAACTCGATGCTAAGCGAGAACGCTCCCGGGCTAAAGCAGGGCGTGCAGAGCAATCTTCTTTTCGGTCCCACAGAGACACGCGGCGCTCTTCTACTCTGTGGCGGCGTGAATGCATTCATTATAGTGCGCCTCCTTGCTGACCGGCCTAAATGTCTCTGCAGAGACGGCGGACGGGTCACACAGCACAAAGCTTACTCAGCACATTCCCAGCGAGTTTGGGAGCCGCCTCCTAACCAGCCTGGTCCTAAAGATCCTACAAATGAGTTCCTTAGTCGCTCTTACTTCATCGTTTCTTTTTATCTGAAGCACTTTAAAACTTTGCACACCAGCCTGTGTTTTAATGTGATGTGATTGGCCGTCCTCTTTTCCTGTTAAACAGTCTCCTTGTACCAGGCAGCCGACTGCGATCTCGCCAAAAGTCCCAAACCACGTGTCAAAGTGTAAAGACCCACCCCGCTACGAGGATGCCGTTAAACAGACGCGCGGCTTGCAGGCAACTGTTCAGGTGACTAAGAAACACGCTCTTAAGTACAGTGTATTCTTTAGACTGAGACATTGACCGGTCTTCCTGTCCTTTCCCCAGCGTCCCACCGCTGCAAGCCAGCAGATGGACGACTTGTTTGACGTGTTAATCGAGAGCGGCGGTGAGAAATACTGCAATTTCTTTTTTGTGGGGGACATGGGGCGGTAAAAAAAAAGGCGTAAAGGATTCTCACACTCTGAAACATTTGTGTTTCAGAGATTTCACCCTTCACCAGACAGCATCCGCCCAGTCTGGACAAGCCTCTCCCCGTGACGGCCAGCGTCACCGTCCTCCCCGTCAACACCGCCTCGTCCCGCCCTCCGGCCCTGGTCCAAGTGGCCCGGCCGCCTGCGGCGCAGCTCGAGCCCTCTCCCAGCTCGGGGGCGCTGACCTCCGCCAACCAGCTGGAAACCCTCCTGGGTGCTCACACGCAGACGCTGAAGCTGACCGAGGAGGTCCACTCCCCCGCGGTTACCATGGAAGGGTACTTGAACGAAGACACGTCCCCCTCCGCTCTGCACAGCACCAACATGGACAATATGGACTGGCTGGACCTCACCCTGTCTGTGCCAGCGGGGGGGGTCAACTCTTTGGACATGTCAGCGCCAGTGGGCGTCTTCTCTTCTGACTTCCTTGACTCACATGAGCTGCACTTGAGCTGGGACTGACTGAGTTCAGACGGACAGACTTTTTATGCGAGGGAAGCTGTTTTTACTTCCTGTGTGGGGGGGGGGGGGGGGGGGACAAGGTATTTTGGTTGAGGCAGCTCTCTTTTGTTTTCTGGCTGTAAATTAGCTCAGTAAATCAGTTTAGAAGTTCCTTCGTTGCTTCCTTTGAGGTCTTCAAACGCTTTGCTTCTACAGGGAGACGGAGGCGATAGGACTGGCAGATTGAGTAGAAGCTGCCTTCACCACACATCTTAACTCGTGATAGAATTTTGTTGTTATTATAACTGTTCTGACGTCATTGTTTTCCGTTTGTCATCTGATTGTAATGAACGTCCAGTGTTGTGTTGCCTTAGTAGCAGAAAGACACACAAATGGTGAATGTTCATTGTGTTTGTGTAAATTGTGAAGCATAAATCTGATGTTTACTTCAATTGAGAGTGTGAATATGACAGGGACATAATATGAAATCACAGAGTAATTCAATCAATTTATTACATTTATTACAAAGTAATTAATGCACAAATTTGCTGCATTCGTCAACCAGTTCTGAAAGATTTTTAGCTGCAGCCAAATCTCCACATGCATTAGTAAAACCAATAGCGTGAACAGTAGAATACAGGTAAGGATGACAAAAGCCATCCGCTGTGCTCTGAGAGACTATTTCCAAGTGAATAATGATAAAAACCTTCTTGCAACATTGTTTTAAGAGTCTTCAAAGGAGGGTTCAAATATTGAATTATGCTTGGTTTTTCTTTTGTTTGGTTACTTTGTACAAGAGATGTAAGCATGGCAACACATACGGACGCATCTTACAGAAAAATAACATCTATCCTCATGAACCACTGATCACTTCCAGCTGAAATAACATGAAGGCATCACAGTTTATTTATAATGCAGCGACATCTGCTGGCGACATCTGAATCTAATCAGCTTGAGCCGACGTCTGACTCGCCTGACAACTTCTCCGTTCTTCTGGCTAATTGTAAAAAATGACTTCTGGTATAATTAACATGTAATTCAGTATCAAAGAAACCAGCACACACAACTTTATGACCCACTACACGATAGCGCGGCATCGTTAAGCATTAACTGTCACCCTCTGCAGGTTATCTCGAGCATTGCTGCCAAACTGTAAATGTTAAAGGGATTTTTCTTACTGCCAGCACATTACCGCCTCATTTCAAATATTGAACAATCACATTTGAGCAGGTTTTGGTTGAGTGCAGGTTAACGGTCAATGTGGAAATTTAAAGCTCAAACGCATTGGTGAATATGTAATCCCAAAACCTGACCAGCGATTCTGACTATGAAATTGGCTTTTTGTTTGTTTCAAATTTGCACTTCATCTCTCGGCTTCGCCTCTAGTCTCGCATCTCAAGTTGCTTATCGGACCGTAAACGACGAGCAGCGCTCAGAGAAGGAGTATGGGCACTGATGTCCACTGGTTACAACGGAACCCCAGAAGTACCAGAGGCCTCTCCGGGTCATCGAGCACCAATCAACACTGCAATGCATCACGTGCAATGAAACTTTGTCCAAACTGGTGTCTTAAAGGTAAAGTATTTATTATCTCAGGGAGCACGGTGTGTTTCCACACACACATACAGCAACTCTACATCCACTTTTCTCTCTTTATATTTCACCTCTAAGCAAAATGTCAACAGTCAAGTGCAGTAAAAATAACAACATCTCAAATTTTGACATTGGGGAATTTGAGAAGACAACCATTTTTGGCAACAACGTCTAAAATTCTGTGTTGTCCACTTCTACTCAAAGTTAAGCAGCTAGAATTTTAAATGTGACGGTAAATTTGATACAAACAGCTCATAAAATGATTCTATGATAGACAATTACATACAGGAAGATTGCATTGCACCACATGTTCCTTCCGCCACGTGCTGCTTTAAAACCAAAGTGAATATTAACAAACATTACCCTTCAACCATTGAAATGCAGTATTGTGACGGTAGTGAATGCAAACAGCGGAGGAAAACTCTACTTGGCTCTTGTCGGATTCCCTTTCCGTCTGAGCTCCATGTCTCGACCGGCAGTTTTTCTCTCAGAGCTTTTTTACAGTCTTAAACGCCGTGCGACACTTGGGACATCTGTGTGTGGTGGATTTGAACGAATCCATGCAGAAGGGAATGAGGCAACAACCCGCCACGCAGCTGCAGAAGAAGTAACAGGAGCAAATTCATTGAGTTGACCTAACTGGACAACACATGAGTGACAGTAAAAACCAGCTGCACAGGTCGAAACATCGAGGTGTGATTATATTGGGGAGGGAACGGTTTCCTACCCAACCATCGCCGCCATGAAGCACACCAGCCAGGTGACGCTGCTGATGGAGGTGAAGGTCTCCGTTATGATGTACTGCTTGCACTCTGGACACTGCGTCCTGCATGGACAATGGGGAAGCTCCTCCACATCCAGAATCACTGTCGGGGCTGTTAGACAACAGGAGGATGTCAGCTTGGCTTTTCCCTCGAAAACAGGGAGAACTCCATTTAAATTTCTAAAGTAAAGGAGGTTCACATCCATTGTGATTAAAAATATCCAGGTAGTGTCAATAAAATAAAATGTCTGCATTTATTTACATTTCATCATTAATGTAACATAAGTTAAATTACTAAAGTACTGTACCTAAATTCAAGTTTCAGGAACTTGAAGTTTGAAATTGAAATTCTGCAATTTGCACATTTATTATTTTTACTTGCTGTCAAAACGTTCTTCTGCGTATTAGCGACTCACCAGGGATATTCGGTGGACTCTCAACATAGAAAATAGTGCCGCCAGGAACGCCAGGAACATCAGAAACTATCTGACAGGAGGCGGGACCAGCCTCTAACAAAGAAGAATAAGCCGGTCACAAAAACAAAGAATGGTGAAGTAATAATTGTCTGCCGGTAAATTTGGACTCTTGCCATTCTTTGTGTCTCTGGCACGCAGGATTCGGTCATGGCTTCTTTGGAGCTCTGCCTCCCTTTCTGCCAGTTGTTCCAGTTGGTCATCTATGCTGTCGTGCAGAGTTGAGGCTGCCACCTCTGGCAGAAAAGAAGAGCATACAAATGAGACCACAGTGTCAAAATATAATATGCAAAAGACAACGTTTATTTCCATGATGCAAATATGTGTCATTACTTGTTGGGAAGGTGTTTAACGCTCTCTCATACCTGTTTGTCTGAACTCTGCACGATTCCTCATCTCCTGGAAGATGCACTGGATCTTTTTCCTCTCCAGAAGTTGTTGTCTCTTGAGTGAAAGATGGTTCATCTCGGTCACGATCTTTTCAAGCTCTTTGTCTGAAGGCAACATGGTGGATGCTGAAAAGAAAGGCAGTGTTTTCTTTGTTTTTGTTTTTGGTTTGACATTTGGTTGACCTGTGGGAAAAATGTTCCATACTGGGGCCTAAATGTAGGCAAAGGGAGTTTGGGAAGCAACATTAAGGTCTGGCAGGAGAACAGTGGAGAAACGGCGGATGCCCTTGAGCAAGGCCCTATATCCTACTGCTATAGAGGAGCTGCTCATTGCCAGCAGATCAGACTGGTTACACTGGGCAGCTTCCAGTTGTGAATGCCTGTGTGAATGCGTGTTCATCTCAGGGAGAAGCTTCCTCAGTGAAACGTCCCAGAATAAACTGTAAAGCTAAATAAGTTTTGATAAAATCATATTGATATGTGACCACATTTTTTGTTGAGGGATATCTTCTCAAAAAAAAAGTATTTAGATTCATAAACAGTTTTTTCCAAACCACTCTGCTATATTTAATGTCAACCAGCGACAAGTTTCATTATTTTTTTTTAAATCCACCATATGTAATAGAAAGGCCTTTTGTAGTGATTCCTGATATGTTATCTGCTGTATTATATTACAGTATTTTGGCAAAATGGTGAGTAGGTGGTCAGCAATGTTGATATGCAACAAACTAGTTATAACCATTAAAGATCAATAGATTAAAATAAAACTCTTAATGAGTGTCCACACAATCTTTACTATGTTTATATCAAGTTTTATGAATTTTCAACTTCATCTCTGCTTTTCCTAAAAAAAAAAAACTCTTTGGAAAAAGTAGAAATCTATTAACCAAATTCTGGTTCAAGTGAGCTAAAGTACCCACAATAACAATTTAGACTAGATAAAATGCTGAAATCATTAATTATTAACATTACTCAAACATGTGATATACACACTGGCTCCATGAAGTCGCTTTTTTAACTGTATTAAATCGATTCAGCTAAAGAGAAAAGATGTGCATTACCGTATTTACTCAGCAGCTCCCAGTGGATCAAGTCCAGGCAGCATTCAAACTAGGCCAACACGGACAGTAGCGTTCACTTATAGCCGCAAATATTCAAATCTTTGGGTTACAACTTCCCTCGCTGGAAATGTAACTGAATGCTCTTGTTGGGATGCAAGTAAAACACAACCACCACATGAATAAAATACTGTAATGTTTTAATGTTTGCGGACAAGTATACAAAACTACAACACACCGGTAAATCACGCCCAGTAAAGTGGGGATTGACAGTCCTCAAATATCTTATTTACATGGAGCCTTTTTGAGATGTGCTCTAAAACATGATCAGTACTTTGTGAGTCATTTCCAGTCTGCGGGGCGAGTAGAACCAGAACAAACGAAAAACTGGTGCATTTTCCTGACATGAGAAACGTTCTCATTTTTTCCTGAGTCTCTTCATAAACGTCACCTCGTCTCTGTTCCTGATCCCGTAGCTGAAGATATGAAAAATACAGTCAAACAGTGACGAGAACAGCGTCGCAAGTGAAGAAAGTGATTTTTCCGCACTTACTCTTTAAGTCTCATCTTGTCATCTTCAAGCTTTTCCCCTTGAAATATCAACTGATAAGTTCTCCAAACATATCTCCTGTGAAAGAGAGGAGGCGCACAGTTGCAATCGGTTTGGCCATTTCATTTGAAATCCCCTTCGTGTCATCGGGTGTTTGCGAGTGTATTTACCAGCTGATGTGTTTAACTCCACCTTCACGTTGTTGTTTCAGCTCCATGAACCTGCGAACGGCCTTCTTCAGGTCAAGCACAGTAGCATTTTGCACCACCACTATGGCTGAGGGGGGAACATTTTATCAAAAAATAATCACTTGAATAATCGTGGCGTGAGATGAAATAAAATACAAAAGGACAATGTGATCGGAAAACGGTGTGCATGCAACACAGGTTCAAAATGAAACAACTAAACCAAGACTCACGCATTATCTCTCCGTCTGCCTTTAAAACCCTCACAGTCATCGCTTGGCCGTATTCCAAAGCAATCTGAGAGTTCACCTCCTCCAGGGTCACCTGAAGATGGAGATGATCAGGTTTTAGGAAAACGTTCATAGCTACAAATCAGGAGTCTTTTCTGCTTCCTACATACGTTTTGTAGGGCTTACTGTAATGCATTGTACAACGTCCACGGACGTTATGTGTGTATGCAAATAACGTGTTATGTGTGTGTGTGTGTGTGTGTGTGTGTGTGTGTGTGTGTGTGTGTGTGTGTGTGTGTGTACATATACAATGAGCAGCTTTTTTTGCTGCATGTAAATGTAACATGTCTACCTTCCCATCACAATTGGTATTAATGTGCTACCGACCGATCCATCACACCTGAATGGGCAGATCACAGAGTAAAGGGTCTTGCACAAGTCGAGCGAGTCCCTCCTCAAAAATATCTAGGATCTCTGAGTGAGGAAGAGCCTCCTCATCTTCCTCCTCTTCCTCCTCCGCCCGGCGCTGGTTGTCCTCCTCTTCCTCCTCCGTCCGGCTCCGGTTGTCCTCCTCTTCGTCCTTTACAGGCGGTCCTCCTCCAACAGAGTCCTGAATCTGGTTCTCCATCTTCCACCAACACCTACAGCTCGATACTCAACCAGCTGACGGTGAAACTATTTCACTGAAGAAAGCCATGAAGTAAACAAACCACGTGTGCAGTGAATATCACTGACCGGGAGGCAACCGCAGCTTGGTATAATTAGTTCCCCCGACCCCCGCAGTGGACGCACGTATACACGCTAGAATTTTCAAAAGAACACATCGATTGGGGGGGGGGGGGGGTATTATTCAGTGGTGACAGGATTTTGGGTCGTGGTTTTAAATAAACATACAAACACGTCTTTCCTTAATGTTTTGTTTCCCACCGGACGATGAAAAGAGTAGCACCGTCTCTCAGGAGCCACTTCCGCTTCTCCACACGCACCAAACAGTGAACAGACGGGAGAACAGTTTGTTAACTAATCGAGTTCCTGGGTTCCTTTGGTTGTATATTTTGGTTACTTAAATAAATAAAATAATCCCGGTTAACATGCTTTTGTTTTGTCCGACCTGCGGAAACGTCTTAATTGTAGAGGAAGGACAGAAGTGCATGAGATTCGCCTGCAATACCTGTCCGTATGTACACAACATCACACGAAAGGTGAGTTTTGTTGATCACGTGACTTCAGTGTGATTCTATGTTGTTGTCCACGTTCAGTGTACAAATAAGCTGTTGCCGCTTGACTTACTTTTGTCTTCTGCAGGTTAATAACAGAAAATATCCTAAGCTGAAGGAGGTGGACGATGTTCTCGGTGGAGCTGCAGCTTGGGAGAACGTGGACTCCACTCCAGGTAACAAATCAGTTCTTTGTTGGTTGTATAATGTCAGTGCTTTGTATTATTCTTCAGCCTTGTCGCCCATATTCGTGATTCTCATACCTCTAGTTTTTAAATAACGTCAAACTGAATCACTAGATCTTTTATGACATCTGTGCATTTGTTTTACCTTTCTATTTATGCTTAATATTTGAATTATAAATAAATTGATGCCGCGTCATGTATTTTTACAGCGGTCTACTTTAAGATCTATTTAAAATTATAAGTTTCATGGTTCATAAAACATTGTGAAACTACAATAACAAATGTCCAATGCATAGCGTGTTGCTGTGTTTAAATGTTAGTTTAACATTCTAATAACTTCAGACCCAAATAATCTCATTGGATTCATCAAGTGTGGAAAGGACTTGATCCAGTTGATTTCTAAGCAACACAGAGATCTGGATTAGTTTTTCTTGGAGAATATTCTTGCATCATTTTTTATCATGACTCATCTTATAGATGAGAAATGCAACTATTTCTTGTGATTGCAAGCTGACACTTACTCTTGTACATGTTTCCAGAAACCTGTCCAAAGTGTGGACATCTTCGAGCATATTTCATGCAGATTCAGACCAGATCGGCTGATGAACCAATGACCACTTTCTACAAATGTTGCCAGGCCCAGTGTGGCCACCGATGGAGAGACTGACACCTTCGCTCTCTGAAAATCACATCGTATTTAAGGCTTATGTGGCAAAGATACTTTATTTAATGCATTCTTGCTGGTTATGGAAACTTGAGGCCCAGCGGAATAAATCTGTTTCTTTTTGAGTTTGTGGATCATACAAACAGTTCATTTTCAAAAGAAAATATTAAAATAGATTTTTCAAAGAAAAGTCATGTTCTGATTTTTTATTGATAAAATAATACCTGTATACAACCGTCAAACAAGTTTTGACTCGCATAGTTATACATTTCACAGACAGAGAGCAATTCAGACCAGCGTCATCCACAACAATGGCATACAGTACTTTGTGTTGAAAGTTCAATGCAATCCTTCAACTTAAAATGTACCTTCTTGCACAGTTTAATTAGCCTCAAGAAGAAATTAAATCAAATGCATAGAGTCAAGAAAGTAGCCGGTGAGATTTTATCTGTTCCCGATGTGTGGCTCATGCAGACAAACTGCCCTTCGAGTGGCGGCGAGCTGCAGATTGGACATGCTGCGGTGGCCGTACGATGGTTGTCTCCTTGTTGGTAGTAAACTCGATGGAATCACAATGTTTGATACAATCATTTATTCTGAAGCTTATTCCTAGCAGAGAGGTCACTTTGTAGCATTGGCCAAAAGACATCAGTATTATCCAACATGCATCTTAACGGGCTGATGCCATATTGGGAGGGTTACAGGCTGAACAACGGGACGTGCTAATGACGGCGTCACCGTGTGGTAGCTCGGCTTTAAATCTACTGAAATGATTTACTGCTGGTCATGAGATGAAAATGCAAGTCCTTAAAGCCTGAATCTCTCCGCTTGGTCGTTAACGTGAATGAATCAGCTGGGGAAATTAAATTCCAACTTAAAGTGCAAATCGTGGCTTTATTATCAAAATGAAGTACATCATGGACAGAGGGCGGTAACGTAAATCACTCAACAATTTGTAACTAGTCTGAAGCTCAGAAGACAAATAAATATAGCAGGTAACATCAATCTTGGGCATTCCCAAAAAAGCAAATATATCAGTTCAATTAGCAGAAAATGGTTCGTTAGTTTGCTCACATTCAACAAGGGAGAACGATCAGAAGGAAAACGAAGTCAGTTAGAATAAAATTATCCGACATGGACAGAAACCTTCACAGTTCGTGATATCAACTTGTGAAAATAGTGGATTAAGTATTTAAAATAAATACAAAACAATAAGGCTAACCCAGAATGTTAGAACTCAATACACTTCACAGATTCATTTAAATAAATAGTGATCATTTTCACAGCTTTTGCTAGATTAATCTGTCATTAAGGGGGGGGGGGTTTAACCCCGTTAACGTGTGTAACAAGTCTTTTCTACAGAGTTCCTTACTGCTGCCTCTTCATTTGTGTGTCTTTAACTACTTCTGTAGTTTGGTGAGATTTCTACATTTCGAATGCATATTAATAGATGAAAGTATGCTGAACGGTATTTACAGAAGGTATTAACTAATGAGAAAACTGCACTATTCTAGAGGGATACACAACACTTTGCAAAATGGGGGGGGGCTGTCATTACCAGCAGGAGGAGCTGTGGGAGCACGCGTGTGCATGTACATGTCTCTAGCGTACGGCGGTCGGTGGTTAGCATATGCGCTTGTATGTGTAGATGTAGCCCTTACAGTACGGGCAGCTGTGTGTCACATCCTTCAGGTCATCGATCAGACAGGGAATCAAGCAGCAGCCCAGATCGCACCTGCAAATAAGGAAGAGCACACGGTGTAGGGAGGTATTAACGCCACACTGACCCGAGACGCATGGCGCGCACCCATTAGTCCCTCAGTAGCTTTTAATACGTTTATTTTAAACGTTCATCAGTTTAGATTCATATATTTAGGTTGCGATTGTCAACTTGGGAGGTTCTGCCCCGAGAACACGGCCCAGCACCCGGGACGTTTTGTGCCACTTACCCCACGAAGAAGCAGAAGAGGCAAAAGAGCGAGTTCATGAGGCCGACATCGTGGGAGATGCGGGTTACGATCGCCTGCTGACAGTGCGGACACACCGTCTGCACCGGCGAGGTCTGGAACATTTCCCCCTGCAGGACGGTCACAGTGGTGGCGGCTCCAGGGGGAGACAGGACGGTCGCCGTGTGACCCCCCATGTGGACAAACTGACCGGGACAAGGGCCCATCTGTCCTGGCATCGGGAGAGGAAACTGACCGGGCGGAAGCGGGTAGGGGCCACCTGCACAGAGGTAAGCGACACGTAACATACTCCATCGCATATGGATTAAGACATAGATCCATAGGGTGTATGTTGAATTTAGTGCATTTCAAATGGCCAAAAGCACGGCTCCAAATAAAAGCTAACGTTGCTCAATCGGAAAATAGAGAGTGAGCGTGTTTGTTTGCGTCAGCTGCACCTGGTTGTAGTGGATGCATCGGCATGGGCCCGTCTCCAGGGACATGTGGGGGAAGGAAGCCGGGGTGCGTGGCCTCGTAGGGCGGGGGGCCGTAGTCTGGAGGCAGCGGCTGTCCTTGTATAGGAGCGTTGGCCCCGGGAGCCGTTACTGCAGGAGAAATGTGGGAAATCAAGAGGCCGGAGGACTTCAGCTTACAAGGAAACAATTTCAAATTGGACGACACTTTTGCTCTTGCAGGCTGCTTTAAGAAGGCGGCAGCTGCGTGTTACATTTATCCCATTAGAGCCTCAGCGCTCTGCTTCATCCGCGGCTTCTCAGGTGAAGATTTCAGACTAAAAACAACATGAGACCAAACTTTAACCACCACACCGCTGAATGTGCTTGTTTTATCAGCTCGATCGGAGCGCGTTTCCTCCCAGTGAGCTTTTTCTAGATTGCTTACTTTTGAGTCTCCGTGGTTACTGTTGAGCATGAACATTTAAAAAAAAGCACATTAACGTTGCGCGTTGAGTTGTATTACCTGGTTGCCCATTCTTCTCCTCGAGGAGCGGGGCGCTGGGACCCCCGGGGTACGGAGGAGGGGGGTCACTGGACATGCTGGCCGGATGTCTGTAAAAGGGGAAACCGGGTCGGACACGGAGCGATCAGTAGAATTCCGCTGTGGACTTTTAATCTGTCAGGAAAGAAAAACACCTTCAGAGGCTCATTCCTCCTCCCCAAGCAACCTGATGGAGTACGCGGCTCAACTAGCTGATCACACAGAACGCAAGTTTTAAGATACTTTGTGTCGGAAAATTGACGGTTTAACGTCCCTTTTCATTGGTGCTCCGTCTGATACAAGTACGATGAATCTAATGATTGTACTGTGATGACATGTAGAGAGCACAGTGTGACACACATGTGGCATTTAAACGTGTCAGTGGAGGCAGAAAATAGTTCAAAGTAACCAGGTTATTTCAGTTTGCATCTGTCAACAGATCAACAAATAACTTTAAAAGGTTACTGATCGTTTACCTGCAACTGGGGAAAGAGACTCCACCAAAGGAATCTGGCCACCACCTGAAATCTGATGAAAACCTGAAGTTAGATCACAATAATATGGATGATGTCACTTAAATCACTTTACATTCTGACCCCTGAAGTCATGTCAACAAAAACGCAACTGAGTAGCGCTTAATTCCTGTACGTACAGACAACAACAACAACACTAACAACAACAACCACCGTTAGCATTTCTCCTGAAATCCCCGCTAACGCACCTCAGCTAACCAACTAGCTAGCTGTTGTTTTTCTAATCCTTCGCGCAGATAATCCAGCTCAACGCCACTTGCACAACTAACCCACGAATACCCGCGTTACGTAACGGCGGCCAGCAGAAAGCCGCGGAGACTAAACGGAGTTTCCCGTTAAATCGAGGGTCGTTTCTGGCACCGATGCGGTGAATAATGGCGCCGTTAAGTGTCGGCTAATTGGCAGGTCGCGTCATGTTTCAGCTCACCTGATTGCGGCAAAGGTCACGTTAAAACAGGTAAAAGAACCAACAGCGGGTCTTTGCTCGTCTCCAGCTGCTCTACGTTCGCTAACTTGGAAGAAAATGTTGTCGTTGTTGTTGTTGTTGTTTTTTTTACAGCCAAATCGAAGCGTGTTTGCTAACTGTCGTTAAGCTAGCTAGCGCCGCCGTTCACCCAGAAACAACACACGGAGGAGGAGGAAGATGACGCCGGGAAAATAAACATGTTACTGAAACAAATGCGCCTTTTTGTCGGGTTTTAAAAGCGTGTGTTCGACGGAGCAGCTGGAGGAGAAGCTACCTGGTCCTGAGAGAGTCGGGCCCGCCGGCGCTTCAACGTCAGATGAAGCTGTTTGACGTCGGCAAGTTGGGATTCTGATGGTGAGGGTCAACATCCGTTCAGGCGGATTTACGCCCCACGTCATTAATGACACACGCACACGCACACACACACAAGGAGGGAGGAGGGGGGAGGGAGGGGTGTCTAAAAAACACACACACAACCAATACGAGATGACAAGTCACAAATGTGTCATGTAATTATGTAAAGTTACTCCAACGAGAAAGGCTAGGATTGTAAAACACAACAAAAAATGTTTTGTGTTTTTTTTTTTTATTGGCCTGTTGAAACGTTACCTATGTTGTCCATACATATCAAGTAAACATATCCTAAAAAAAATCATGTTTATTTTGAAAGTGCTTTCCGGAAATGCTGTATGAAAGTATTTGTGCATTAACGCTGACTTTAACGTCTCTCTCTGGCCGACTGCTTAACATTAGATGATCGATGAATCCTGTAATAATTTTGCAGTTCTTCTTTGGGAATGCAGTTACGCTGTATTTATCTCAACTTGTATATTAGCAGTTTATTCTTATAATATGTCAGAATTCTTTAGAATCGTTGGTTGGTCTTTCCATCTAGCGGACACATTGGGTAACTGCAGTGCTAAATGAATCAAGTTAGCGTTCATAAAGAACTAAAACTGTGGAAACATTTTCGGTTTATATTTTCAAACTAATGTAACAAATAAAAATAACTAAATATTAAGTTTCGATTATTGTTCTCTCGTAGTTACAGCTAGTAGGATGGTACTGTCCACAATACAGCATAATCATCGTATTCACACTTGTTACTGAGAAAAGTTCTCCAACATTTTACCCATTACAGTCTAACTCAATTGAAATGAAGAACTAAACTGAAGAAGCCGAAATTTATATAAATATATCTGCCTTTGTACCAATTTGGTGAGGGAAAATGCAACACCATGTTACTAACTACGTTGGTACAACTATAATCAAAGTACAACATATTATTAAATGTTTATTATGAATAACAGGATTAGCACCAGTATTGCTCAGACATTTTTATGCTGGAATTTATTATTCTTCGGTGTCCACACAGAAGAAACTGTTATCCATTTTGGATAATCCTGACCAGCCCCTCCACCACCTGCTACAGGGACAGCGGAGCACGTTCTCCAACAGACTCCTTCAGCTCCGCTGTCACAGGGACCGATACAGGAGATTATTCCTGCCCAGTGCAATAACACTCTACAACTACTATATAATGTGTACCCTTTTATTCGATTTTCTTCCCTGTACATGCTGCTGTGATACCAAAATTTCCCTCTTGAGGGATCAATAAAGTATCTATCTATCTATCTATCTATCAGTGTTGTCCAAACAAGGACGCAGTCAGTCTCCTTTATTCAACATCTGGAGTGATATCAATCATACAATGGCACATAGAGAACTACAACCAGTGCAAGTAAAGCTTTTGCGCTGGGGTTTGTTGAATATAACATATATACACTATAGTCTATAGGTTTTACTGCAGAACCCTGTGTTATATTGGCTTTGTATAAATGCCGGTTGTTTACTTTATTCTGAAACCGGAAATGTAAACATTCTGCATTAATGCTGATTTGATTCATATCGTGCTGCAGCTCTTCACTGTGTCCGCTAGAGGGAGGCACACAATCCTGGTACTGGCTACGTTTACATTTAACTGTCTGACACGTCTAGTTGAGGACACAAACTTGTGGGATTATTTCTACATAGAAGCTAACATACACATATTTATCTCCCATACAGACGTATGTGCCAACATACTCTACTTTCGCCTTTAGTCGCTTTTATTTTTGCTCTACTTTTATTTGTATTATCATCTACCTTGCGTAGAAGTAACAACGAGTGACGCACTTGGCCCGACCCCTCCCCTCCGGGCGGTCCCAACACACGAAGCGAACGCCCCGGATTTCTGCATCGCTCGGAGACAACCAATCAGATCCACTCGTTTTCGCCGAAGCTCATCTCGGGCAAAAACAACAGCCGTCTCCTCCTTTCGTTTCCGGTTAGCATCTTTATCCGCAGCACCAACTTAACCTGCTACATGTTACATTGACGAAAGCATTTGTACTCGGTCGATTACATGTTTTTACACCTTAGTGTCCTTCTGAAGAAAGCGGGAATTGGAGAGCTAACGCGCTGTTAGCTGCCAAGCTGCTAGCTAGCTAGCTAGAATCGGCGATCCCGGGAGAGAAAGATGGGGTCCGTCCTGAGTCGCAGAATCGCTGGTGTTGAGGATATCGACATCCAGGCCAACTCGGCCTATCGATTTCCTCCCAAATCGGGTAAGTAGTCGGCAGTGCTTTTGGTTGAGTCCGCGTCGACCACTATCACGTATCTTCTCAGGCAATATTAAACGAAAGCACACGTTAACGTCAGCCAGCTTGACTCCAACGTCGACGATCGATCATTTTCTGTTGTCGTATCACCAGCCGGTGTTTACAACACGTATTGACTTCGACAATCAAGCATGAAAGCTGGATGTCCCGATCGCTCGTTATTCGGGACTGTCAGAGTGACGCACATTGGTTTATTACCACATTACAGCTTTGTGTTCCCGAACACCCGAACTTAATGGTCGGACTTTTCTTCAAAGTGTTGAAGAAACGAGCTCAGCGACCAGTTCTGCCGACACTCAAAGACAACAAGTGGTTTACGGCTACAGCAAGTGCACACTGTCAATGTCATGGTGTTGTACAGCTATAAAACCGTGTTTACAGGCAGATCATTTCTATAAGTGACTGTATATACGTGTAGACGTCGGTTACAATGACCGACCGAAATGTCCCTGTATGATGTCGCCTTTTAATGTTTGTGTCTTGTTTTTCTTTTTCTTGTCTTCAGGGAATTATTTTGCGAGCCACTTCTTTATGGGGGGGGAGAAATTTGACACCCCCCATCCAGAGGGATATCTTTTTGGAGAGAACATGGACCTGAACTTTCTTGGAAACAGGCCAGTGCAGGTAAACAAAAAAAACAACAACCAGATTTTTCCTCACACGAGCTGCTTCAATCATCTGAGAACAGCTTTGAAACTCACATGAAGCAGTTTGTGTCAGCGATACGATTAGTGAGCCACGGTTGATCGTTACAAATCACATCTCATCCTCCGTATTGTTTTTATTATGACAGTTTCCATATGTGACGCCGGCACCCCACGAGCCGGTGAAAACCCTGAGGAGTCTGGTCAACATTAGAAAGGACTCTCTGCGACTGGTCAGGTAACTGGTAATCAAACGGCTGTTTGAACATAGATTCGTTCCATTGCTGCAACCAAACGTTTCAAAACTTGTATCTGTAGGTATAAAGATGACTCTGACGCCCCGGTGGAGGAAGGTGAAAAACCAAAGGTTCAGTATGGTGTGGAGTTCACCTTTGACGCTGACGCTCGGGTGGCCATCACCCTCTACTGCCAAGCATTTGAGGAATTCTCCAACGGCATGGCAGTGTAAGATTTAAATCCCCACAATCATCTTTTATGGGAGCGAGTCGGGTGAAGCTTTAGCTTTTAGTAGCACACAGGCTGAAGTGTTACGTAAATCATAACTAATGGAATCTGATAATTATTTAGTCTATTATTGAATTTGAGACGTCACATCTGACTCCACTCATGAAACACACGTAGGCCACATCTGCCGATGTTTGAGAGGCTCTATTGTTCAGACTTGAACAAAGAAGCATTATCTTTGTGGAAAACCACGTGCCAGAAACATTTAAACTCTGTTTTTTTGGCTCGTAAAAGTCAAGCATGAGAGCAAATCGACTGGAATAGATGCAGTGGGTTATTAGCAGCTTCCGATCACCATGGAGACGATGAAAGCAGCTGTTCATCTGTTACGGTAGGATGAGACGGAAAGATGACGCGTCAGATACAGCGACGGTGGTGCCATTCAATTCACTTTCCTTTATTTCCTTCTTGTCTAGTGACACCGATGAATGTATTGAGTGCTTGAAGATGATAAATTACAGATAACTGTCTTAATGTGACACCCTCCCAGTTAGTAAAAACCGAGTTCCCTTTGTAACACCGTGTGTGCAGATACAGCGCAAAGAATCCATCGCTGGTGTCTGAAACTGTGCATTACAAGCGAGGCGTGAGCCAGCAGTTCTCCATGCCGTCTTTTAAAATAGATCTCACCGAGTGGAAAGAGGAAGACGTAAGTACATAAACCTATTTCTTATTGCTCTTATCAACATTTTTTGACTTCACTTAATCAGGTAAACTATTGAAATGATTTGATACAAATAATTTCAGATGTGATTGTGATGCAAGAATATGCTTCGGCTCAAATAACGAGGAAAGTCATTTTATGTGTATCCTTTCCGTTAAAGCTGAACTTTGACCTTGACCGGGGTGTGTTTCCTATGGTGATCCAAGCTGTTGTGGACGAAGGGGACGGTAGGTCACCAACAGCGTCACTGTTAGCAGCTGCTTGAATTAAGATTTGGAAAAACGTTTCTAATAACCGCGTTCTTCTTAAGATTGCCTCGGACATGCTCACGTACTTTTGGCAGCGTTTGAAAGAGTACGTATGATTCTAAATAACATTCAATTTGAATTTAAAAAAACGTTTTTAGCTAAAACATGTTTTTGTTTGATCTCCAGCACGTTGACGGCAGTTTCTCCGTCAAGCCTCTGAAGCAGAAGCAAATTGTACGTTTATACATTTTCTTATTTAGATTATTGTAGAGCAGTTATTTTTGGCTTACTCCTTGAGGAAGTAACAATTCCTTGACCCATTAAGCACAGCTCTTTATCACACGTTATACGGTATTCTACTGTTTTTTTTTTTTCCTTACATGATTTTGCATTCCTTCTGGTTTTTGTCACTTGATCTTCTCAGGTGGACCGTGTGAGCTACCTCTTACAGGAGATCTATGGGATTGAGAACAAAAACAACCAGGAAACCAAGGTTTCAGTGGACTTCTATTCATCAACCACAGTGCTGTAAAACGTTATTGAATGTTTTTTTACTTATTACTTTTGATTTCATTTTGTTCTCCTTCTTCAGCCCTCCGATGATGAAAACAGTGACAACAGCAACGAGTGCGTCGTCTGTCTGTCGGACCTGCGAGATACGCTCATCCTGCCCTGCAGACATCTGTGTCTCTGCAACTCCTGCGCCGACACCCTGCGTTACCAGGCCAACAACTGCCCCATCTGCAGGCTGCGTACGAAGTGTTGCATTCTGTTCATGTTCTGCTCTCCGTGGTCCTTCATTCATGCTATTATAGTGGTAGTTTCCACATTGCATTTTACTGTGTTTAATGCGAGTCCGTTGGTCTCACAGCCTTCAGAGCCTTGCTGCAGATCAGAGCCGTGAGGAAAAAGCCTGGTGCTCTCTCGCCGGTGTCCTTCAGCCCCGTTCTGGCTCAGACTATGGACCACGACGAGCACTCGGTAGGTCTCATGTTCGTCTGTGTGTAATCACATCCAGTTGACTGAGATGTGTAGAAACATCAAAGGGAAACTGGGCGGTCATAGCGTGTCATAAAAAGTGTCACATAAATATAGTATGTGTCACACACGCGTCATCATGTAGTATGTTATGAAAATCTCCCAAAAATGTCATTATAAACATGCCATATATTCATTATAGTATTTAAAAAGTCATGAGTAGTTGTTTGGTCATGAGAGTAGCATGTCATAAAACGCCAAATACAAATTGCACAAAGAATCATAAAGTACAGTATGTATGGAAAGCAGGGATTATGAAAAAAGTCATAGTATGCCACCGGAATTGTATTTACTCATGACATATTATAAAAATAACAGTATTTAAGTCATGAGCTTAGCTTAGCCTCGTCAAAATAAACTGACTGCTGCTTCTGCTTCAGTGTTAAAGACACTGGCTTAGTTAAGCAGTGGCAAACCACATATCCATGAAACGTTGCATGAGCCACTCTGCAACCTTTTAAATCATGTCATCCAGCAGCTAGTTCAGAAACTGCCGCGGTTGAAAGGCGAGTGCTGGTTATGAATCCGTCTGTATCTCTGCCCCTCTGCAGAGCACCGACTCGGTTCCTCCCGGCTTCGAACCAATCTCCCTGCTAGAGGCTCTGAATGGGCTGCAGTCGGTGTCTCCTGCCATCCCACCTGCCCCCCTCTACGATGACATCAACTTCTCCGGGGGTCCGGGTGGAGAAGGCAGGCAGCTAAGCTCCCCGGAGCATCTAAGTGATGGAAGTCTGCAGAAAGGCAAAGTCAGCAAGTCACCTGACAGGTACAGTTTACATGCACACAAACAGCTTAGTGCAAGAAATCAGGTATGGACTTGAAATGAGATCCTATGCATGTTTGTATCTGTAACAGTACTTTACATTAGACTGCGTCAGTTTTTTTATTTCAAGGCACTACCACATTTTTTTAGGAGGTTGAGTAATTAGTGAAATTGTGATTGATTGAATTACCAGTTCTACTCATTGTTCTGTATTCATTATTTTCTGTTGTCATTTTCCAGCACCCTCAGATCTCCATCCTCCCCCATCCAGGAAGAAGACGAAGAGAAGCTGTCTGAGGTGTCCGACGCTCAGCCACACACGCAGCTGTCCAGCAGTCCCGCCCCCACTGACGTAAACCCCCCACTGCATCAACCGACGTCTAAACTGCTACAAAAATAAGAGCTCTGACCAGTTCTATTCCCTCCTTCTTTATTCAGGCAACCGCCACCGAGGACGTGGCTGAATCTCTGTCTCCCGATGACGGTGAGTTTGGCAGTCGGTGGACACTTAATTATCCGACACCAGGAGAGCGTATTTCGGCCTTCGAGTGTCTGACTCATTTACGTTTTACTCTGTGGGGCGATCTAGAGGACAGGATGCATTCTGGAGGAGACCACTTACAGGACTGCAGCAGCGAACACAGCAGCTTGACCAAAACGGAGAGCGAGCCCGCGGGCGTCTTGTCCCTGCCAGGTGAGAGGAAGGAAGGAAGGACGCTTATAAAGCCATATCAAGTTCAAACATGCGTTTTCAGCCATTTTAGAGCAAATTGGATCAACGCTGAAAGCAGTCTCTGAAGTTGACGGCGTGATCAACTGCAACCTTTCTAGTCCTCTCACGTCTCTCTTCTGAGACTGCACCTCTGTGCTTTGCATCTAACCGGTGTGCTGTTGTGCCTCTCTGTTTCCGAACGCTCGTCTGTTCCCTGCCGACTTGTCCCTTCGTACCGCCTCACTTTGGGCAGCTCTAGGTCCTGATTCCTGCTCTATTGGTATGGCGGAATAACTGTGGTATGTAGGCTTTCCTCTCCGCTCTGCTTCTCTGCGTGTGAGTTCCATTGCTCCCCCCCCAAATAGATCCATTGACATCTGTCCCAGCTAGAAAACAAAAGATCCCGCAGGTCATCGTGTCGTAGCGACTTCTTGTGATGGAGCCGTCTTAGTCGGGAATAAGCAGCACTTCTTATGTGCGTCTCTATTTGAGCAAAGTCTTGACTGGAATGTTGACTTTGAGCCGCGCCGCTTATTCATCGCTTCCTCCTCTTTAGGGTCATCCGAGTCAACGGAAAGCCTGAAAAGTCAGAGCACAAACAGCTCCAGCCAGCCTCTCCTGTGTCCCACAAGCAGCCTTCACATGGAAGATGAGCTCCTCAACCCCTGACTCTGATCCGTCCTCCACCCTGGCAAACATCAGAACGGATCACCCGGTCCCTCCTGTTTCCTCGTGCCCCACCGCCCAGTCTTCTGCTGGACTGATCAGAGCCGACAACCGGCCCGGAAAGAAAGTCCACCAGGACTAAAAAGGTTCAGGCTTTACAAAATGAATTTTTACTTCCGCAGAGATGTTCTTGGTACCGACCGATAAGATCCCTCCCTGGCTTAGAAAACATTTCATTAAGAGTTGTGGTCTCGTTTTGTGGATTCCACAGTAACATTCCCACCTGTCATGGTGGTTTTAAGCACACTTGCTTTAAATCAACTTTATCAAACACTAACTTCATAAGAATTTATAAATACAGTTTGTCTAGATATCGTATTCATCAGTGAAATACATTAATGATGTGGGAACTTATTTTTACAGTAAGGCTGATTTGTTCATTTCAAGTGATTTTTGCATTCCGGCAAATCATTTGATTCCATTCCTTAAAAACACAACGAGATGAGTTTACGCTTTGTTTTTATTTTATTTTAATGACGTGATATAATGTACTAGAATCTTGTGTAGTTACCTCCAAATTGTATTCTTGCATATTGCGTGGAAAAGAATAGATTCAGTTAACATGCACATGGGATAATCATTAAGAGCTACAGATTCACAGTCTAACAGCTAAACTCAAAGATATCAAACGCCTGCAACAAGCAGCTGACTCACCTTTGTTGCTCAGCCAGCTCGCTGTAGATGTCGCAGATGTCCGTGCGGTCGTTTTCTGTCTGCTTATGTGGCGTAGCTGCGAAAAAAAGTGTGTGTGTGGTGTTTGTGTGGCTGCGATAAATCTACATAACATGGTCCTTCACGTGCAAATAGATCTCTGTGCCTTGAATCGTTATGGCTGCCCGCTTGTTGCATCGGACATTAGTGTTTGTACAAATGCTACAATATCAAACCGTTTTCCTCCCGTAGAAAGGATTTTAATGCTGATGTATAGAGCCGCCTTTTTTCTATCGCAAACTTCATGCTATTGGAAAAATGTCTCCTCTCATAGTTGTTGCATTATGAAATTGAACTCTTTACTATCTTATGGCCATTTATTAATTATGCATTTAATCGTACTACTTAGGTTGAAGTGGATGTTTGAGCGGAAGGACCACATCCAATGCAATAATTGCAAACATGGCATTTTAATAATCGGGCTGGCATTTGCATGTGAATTTGTAGTAAACTTTTAAGTACCATGGTTATTTAGTCTTTTCCCCCTTCTCTTCTGTGCCATTTGAACTTAATACTGTGCCTTCCTGTTCCTGTTCTGACCACTATTAACCTGGTATCCAGGATCCCTCCACCGCAGGTGGTTGGTGGCCGTCTGTAGAATCAATACTGTTTCTCCTTGTGTGTATAGCAGCATGTGTATCACAATAAAGAACAAATATTCAGCACTTCACTATCAGTTGTTTTGCGATCTATCACAACTTATTTATTTTTTAGGACTTACTGAACAATTTCCAAACTATTATGAAAGCTTTCTTTAAACAAGACTTTATATTCTCTAATATTATTTTTATCTTTTCACCATGTTAGACTGTGACTTTTATCCACATGTTATATTTTGTTTTGGTTTTATATGCTACACTACAACTTTTTTAACATGCTTCTTTGTTACTTTCTTGATATTGTAAACTATGTTTTAAAGACTTATTCCACATTTCTACAAAATTATTTTTTGGCATTAAACATTAGAAAATGCCCATTTTAAGATTTACCTGTCATTTAACTTCTTGAATCCTGTTAAAAAATTAAAAGGTACGTCTTTAATAGTTTGGGAACCTTTTCCGATGCATTCGGCCTCATTGTGAAGCTATTACACTGTATATGCTGTAAGGAGCTGACGATAAAGTGTTCTCAACCTGCTGTTTTGCAACTATTCCTTTGAGGAAGGATTCCCATGGTTTTAGATTTCAAGCGTTACATTCTTCCTCCGTATCGGTGAACTGTTGCTCTCTGCTCAGCTGGACCAACAGGTGTACAACAGTATACAATTTTAAGAGTTTTAAGTTACTCTGTGGCCTCAAGTTTGCTTGTAAAAACATAATACAGTGAAAGAAATACAAGTGTATGTGTGTACGGTGCATGATCTGTAAGTGAGATTATGGTATTTACGCTTTAGAGGGGGTCAGAGGGGGCGGTTACACTGCATACATGTAACGTTTCAGTCTCCTTTCCTAAACTCTTTTTAAATCAATCAGCTTACCTGAAAATAAAACGTGTTGCTGGAATTCTGGGAACTAAACCTGCTCATTCATTCGGTTATTCCAGACTGGCCGTCATCTCTCATGCCACAAAGATTGAGAGAGTTGCCGCTCAGAAAAAGTGAATTAATCACTGGACAAACGTCCAAATGCTTACCTCCAATATCCGATGATCTCACAGGCCGAAATGTTCTCACACTTGTGATTGGCCAGCTGTCCAGACAACGTGGGAGAGTTGCCCATTAATCACTGGAATGAAGGCCAAAGGAAGCAGTGGGTTGAAACAATAATCTAGACCACTTAAAACAACTGCCAACATCCATTATTTACATTTCTGTGGAGATATTGAATGCATCTAGGAATGCAGCGTTAAACCATTATTTACTTGCACAACCTCAAAGAAACAAATGAAAGATTGAGCTGAGGTTGAATAACGGAGCTTTAGGATCGTCTTTCCACAAAACCACGACTTTGCACTGAATAAAGGGGAAGCTCCCTCATTCAATTAGCTTGTGCTAAACCTCAGCGAGGCAGCGAGCCACACAAATCTCCACCCTCATCGCAGATGCATTTGCCCACATGCCCTTAATCTCCAAAAGAAAACATGCGTATCACCACATCCATTCTCACCGCCTTCACTCAGCCCCACCCTGAAAAACACATACCTGAGTTTAGAGTTGGTGCATGTGGCAATACACAGTAGATAAGCTAAATAAAGACTTATAAAGACTCCTAATCCGTCACCATATCTCAACAAGTTTTACTGCCTCATGAGGGTGAACAGTAATAGAATTACTCTGCTTTAACCGTCAGGTCTAAATCCAGATCGCCTGCAAGATCCTCATCGTTATCATCTGAAAAACACCACAGACGTCTTCACTCAGTTTTAGGAAACAGAGCAAACAAATGGTTGATGTTAACATCTTCAGAATAAATACCACGCAAACATAACGTCTGTGATTTAAAAGCCGGGGATTTGGAGCCACGTGCACATCCATCCTACTTTAAGGCGCCCGCGGGGCGAGGAGGGAGAGGAGGGAGCAGGACGGACACGTGGCTCAGCTGAAGTTAAGTTACATTACGATCCCACCGGTATAATCGGCGTCGTGTTGGCGAGGCACCATGACACAGCAGCTCGCTGGTTCACCGTTCCTCAAGCCGACCTTCCCGAAAGCGCCTGTCGGAGGCCCTCTGCGACACCGACGGCACACGCTGCCCGCCAGCGAGTTCAGGAACCTCACGCCGCAGGACGCCATCAGTGTGTTTGAGATCGAGAGGGAAGGTAAGTCAAGTTATTTATTACAGCACAAATTAAAATCCAGTAAAAACCAAGACTGTCTTTTTGTGTGTATTTGTATAAAATGGAACACACAGTCATACGTGTTCGTTACCATCTTACTGCCATGGTTTTAACACGGTTTAAACACATGTGTCCCCCCCGCAGCGTTTGTCTCTGTGTCTGGAGAGTGTCCACTCACCCTGGATGAGGTGCTTAACTTCTTGGCTCAGTGCCCTGAGCTGTCTCTGGGCTGGTTTGAGGAAGGGCAGCTCGTGGCTTTCATCATCGGCTCTGGCTGGGACAAGGAGAAGCTCTCGCAGGTATGAAAACCCTTTGTGAAGAGCGACGCGCGGCGGGACATGCAGACCACAGAGTTACCGACAAACCCGCTCGGACGGCTTGCGAATTTTGCCCCATTGGATATTTGACCTAATGGTTGCCTCTCTGTACTCTTTCATTTCCCCAGGAGGCCATGACTCAGCATTTCCCGCACTCCCCCACCGTGCACATGCATGTGCTGTCGGTGCACCGCCACTGTCGGCAGCAAGGCAAGGGCTCCATCCTCTTGTGGCGCTACCTGCAGTACCTGCGCTGCGTGCCAGGCCTCCGCCGGGCTCTGCTGATTTGCGAGGACTTCCTGGTGCCCTTCTACCTCAAGGCCGGTTTCAAGGAAAGAGGACCGTCCGCCATCTCCGTGTCCAACATGCGGTTCCAGGAGATGGAGCACTTGCTGGGTGGGCAGGCGTACGCCCGGAGGAACAGCGGCTGCTAGTCCACGTAGTCAGCTCCAGTGTTGGACGCAGGGAAGATGAGGTTAACGCGACGGCAGGAGGCCCAGGCGGACCGGGTTCAGTGTTGCAGGTAGCAAAGGTCCGACTGGACCTCCTGATGTCGGCATGACACAAGGCCCTGAGGACTGTGGGGAGAAGGGGGACCAGAGTGGATCCAGCTGAAAAGAGGAACCAGCGGTTTGGAGATGTCAAACTCTGTCTCCGTTACCATCTTGGCTTCATGGGTTTAACTAAAAACGCTTGGGTTGTCATTTGAAAATTGGTCCGAGATTTTGCTGCTTCCTTGTGGCATCATTTCAATAAACTATGAAACAATTTCAACAGGGATTCTCTGGTAATTGAGAGTAAGACGCAGAACATTTTCATTTGCAGATTTCTTTTACTGTTTTTTTCAGTTACATGTGATTAGACAGGTAGCTAAAACGCTACCAAGTTCAAGACAATCATCACCTCTTGAGAAGCAATACACAAATAAAAGAAAACATTCGAGTGCTCATTATTCTGTAACAAAAATATGGCAGTAGTTGGTACATTTAGCAACAAGGCACCAACGGTATCGATATTGGATTTTTGTCCCTGCTTCTGTTTGATTCTGGAGTGTGAACATCTGCCTGTACCAGCGCTGGCTTCTTGAGCTCCTGCCTCGCATGTAAAGGGCATCAGGGAATTTTGATGAGGTTCAGAAGAGCCATAACTTTGTTTCACTGGACAGCGACGGAGTGATAATGACTGCCGGTGAACATGGAGGTGATTAAAGGAAGTGTTTACGATGAGTCACGAAGGTTTTTCATACTGACGGGGTAAAAAACAACAAAACGAGTACATTGTCACTGTTCGTATGGGAAGGGGACAGTCGGTCCACACCTTTTGACCTGATGCCTTCCTGTGGTACCCCCCCCCCCCCCCTCTCCCTTTAGTGGAGGTGAGCGTTGAGGTCGTACTTTGCGCAAAATTTGTCCGTGAAGGGGATGCAAGTTAACAACTCGCACCAGTCACACTTGATTGGGTAAACGTAGAAGAGCACACCAGGCCTGAAAAGAAGCCCGACAAACACCAGCAGGAAAACAATGATTTGACATCGCTTGGGATAAATGTCCATGCGGCCGAAACTGATGTAAGGCAAGATGGCGAAGGACAGAAAGAAGCCGGAGATGAAGCCCCAAATGTGGGCAAAATTGTCGATCCATGGCAGCAGCCCGAAGGCGAAGAGGAAGAGCACCACGCACAGGAGCTTGGTGAAGGCCCTCCAGGGCTGGGCAAGGATCTGCCAGCTCTGAAACAACTCCACGAACAGGCAGGCTAGGATCCCCAACTGAGAGCCCGCTGGGCCCACCTGACACAAAGAGAGCGGAGAGGAGGGTGTAAATAGAAAAACGTGTGCACAGAAACGTACAGTGTGATATAAAATGATAAGCTCCTAAACGGGAAAACCTCTGACACATAACACAACGCGACGTGATGCTGCTGCACCAATATTCTGTGGGTGTCAGAGTGGTGGTCACCTCCGCTCTGTAGGGCAAAAAGATGGCCGAAGCAAGGTTGCCAGTGATGCCACTGAGAATGTAGATGATTGAGATGCGCAGCCAGCCCGCCAGCTTCTCCAGGTCCCTCAGGATGGTCATCTGGAAAGCCACCGACACGAGGCAGTGGAGGATCCTGGCAGGACGGAAATGGACACGGTGCTCATGTGTGTGCCATCTGACGTGTGTGTGTGTGTGTGTGTGTGTGTGTGTGTGCGTGCGCGGGGGTAGAAAACGCACATGTTAAGACAGTTGTACTGTGTAAGGCCGAAGCCCTCAGCAGACCAGCAGTCCATCAACGCAATCTGCTTCTATTTCATTGGAGCTTAATGAGTTTGGGTAGCGAGGGCACTTTGTTTAATTACCCAGGGGACAGATGGGTGAAGCCCTGCTTAAGATGAGGTCAGCACTTTCGGCTGACTGACAGGTCGGAATTAAGCCAAAGCAGTGCTGTCAGACAGAAATGCTCAGTGCAAAACTGCAATAAATCAATTTGCATGTAATCAATGAGAGAAACTCTAGTAATACATGAATAAATAGGATTTTTTCACGCAAACTTAACATACATTATATAACAATGGCCAAAACAAAATATATCAAATTTCTCTTCTTTTTTTTTTAAATTTATTTTTCTGGCAAATCTACAGCTTGTGACTCACCCAGCATGCAGGAAGAGTGAGAGCCAGAGCCTGTAAAACTGATCTGGGATCTCAGGGTTGAGGAAAGGCAAAAGTCCACACACATCGTCCATGCAGTGCACCTGAAGAAAGACACAGCACAGCATATTAGGGAATGCCCCTCAGTTACACATATATACTCACTTATAAGTATATATTACACCAGATTGCATTAGCAACAGATGCATCTCATACTGGGTTTAGCACTTTGTTTTAAATTAGATAGACCCATTTACATCAGAAGGCTTATTGCAGACGTAGTGCAGCGTCTCTTCTCCGAGCGACAGCGTTTCCCATTAAGTCACTTATACCAGTGAGAACATAAAAGGCCTCATTTGTGCCTGATTAGGAGAAAGTTGCTTACTTGAGAACAGAGAGTAGCCTCCTCGTGAAAGTAGCCGTTCATGAAGTCACAATATTCCCGGGATGTGATTTCACACCTCGAAAAAAATAAAGAAAGAAAATAACAAATGAGTGACCTCGTGATGTTTTTTCCATCCTGTTTTCTAGCAGCGCAGGTTAAATGTTCATCACCAGGTACATTAGATGCCTCACCTCCCTTTGGTTCCAATGCAGCATGGTCGGCCTGTGATGGTACAGTCTATATGAGGCAGGTTGGTGTGGTTCCCTGTGTTGTACCGGGTACAAATCTAAAAGCCAAAGCAGCAACATTAGCTTTTAAATCTTATTTTAAATTATATCCTTTCTAGATTGCTCAAACAGGGGCTTGTAGCGGCTTTATTGAGAGGACAATGCAGAGGTATTCTATGATTGCAAACGAAAGGCTTACAAGGGAAACTGTAACTCATTTCAAAAAATCATCTCCATCTTTATGCCAGACACGGTTTTACTGCACTTACTGGCCACTTGCTGATGTCATCGGGCCATTCATGAGGCGATACTGAGGCGGGCTCCAGACATATCCTGTCGAAAGACAAACACATTATTTGTACCAGCCAGCATTTCTTCATTTGGACTGTGTAACGGAATGACCTTTAGTTCCTCTCACCTCGGATCCTGATGACACACAGAACCGTATTGTCGGTCTTTACCGTGTAACTTGGGAGTGCTGGAATGCTTTGGCCACTTCACCCACACAGCTAGAGTACTCTACGAATACAGCCACAGATACGGGGTTATAATTCCCCACGGTGCCGGTTTGTAGCGGGATTATGAAATGAGAACAGGGCTACTTGATTACACACCGAGCACTGTTCCTCGGAGGTTTGGACACAGCCGGAGCGATCGTTACGCACGCAGCAGGCGGAGTTGCGTTCGATGGCTCTCTTTTCCCTGATAAGATCATGCACCTGTCCGTCCTGCCGCATGCATGGAGAGAATTTGGCCCCCAAGTGGATAAGAGCCTCCTACAAAGAGAGAGAAAAAAAAAAAAACATACGACATAGTATTTATTTTAAGACACTCACATGCGATTATTGCTTGTATTCTTGAGCTTCAAATCATGAGAAGAGTGCTCACCGACCCCGGCCCGATCCAAAAGTTCTCCTGCTGTACAAACTTGACATTTTCATACACACCTTTGTTTCTTAAAACCTACAAGTCAAAGAGAGGAAGGTTTACGTAAAATGGGCCGTAACGAGATGTAACATATTTTGTTCATGAATCATCACGACTAAGCCGCCACTCACGGAATCAACTGTCTCGTGCTGGGAGAAGCCCACTGGTGCGATACCATAGATGCATACAGCCAGGATAGTGATGAGCAGGTGGACAACGGTGATCCAGTATGTAAAAAAAGGCCTAGAGGAGATAGCGTGTATGCATTCAACCCCTTTCTTTCAAAACGCACACATATTATTGGTCGGGTCTCTGAAGAGGTGCCGTACCTGTGGTCATCCATGTCCTCTATCTGTCGCTTGACGTAGCTGTCAATGCGCTTGCGGTACGTGCGGTTCGTGAGCCTCCCCACCATGCCCAACCCGTAAGGCCTCTTCTCTCGGGCGAAAAGCTTCTTGACGGGCACAACGATGCGCTGGCCGCGCCGCTGCCCGGTGACGCTCACAACCTCCTGCCGCAAGGGCACCTTGGGCGGACCCGGCGTGCCTTCTTTGGCTTTGCGCCACCCTCGCTCCAGAGGTCTGGAGGAGTGACCAGAGGAGACAACACATCAGCCGACAGATCAATAATGACATGTTTCGAAAGAGTATTTTCTGTATCTGTGGGTGTATGAATCAAGTAAAGGAAAAGGGATCAGTGGAGCCTGATTGGTTAACTCGTACAGCAGGAGATGACTTCTCTCCAGCTCGGTCTTATCGAGCGCGCTGCCTGTCAGCTCCGTCTCGTCGTTCTTGCTGCTGGGCTCTTCCTCTTTCATGGCCGCCTCAGACGCCGACTCGAACACCTCGTCGGCGTATGTAGACAACTCCTCCTGCATCATAATATCCTAGAAAGAACATTTCGGAGAGAGAATTGTTGTTGTTGTTGTTGTTTTTTTAAAGTATAAATAAACGCGTTTTGTCGTTGTTCCCGTCTCACTCTGGCAAAGAAAGACGTGTCCAGTTCATCGGGAAAGTCAATCATGTCCTCCTCCATGAAGCTGGCCGGGGTGAAGCTGCGTCTTTGGGCCCGCTTCAGCGTGCCGTCCCGTATTGAGCGCCCCTGCGACGGAAACGCACACAGTAAAGTCCCACAACATTGAGAAAAGGACAACGTGTCATTTATTTCAAAGCATTGCAGTCCGCATATTTAATCCGGCAAGTGGATTTCACGGCTCTCGCTCACCTTGACGAGTGCCGCCGCGGCCCTGAAGCTCATCTTTGCCACGGACTCCCTCTTGCGGCGGCGAGGCAGTCGATTGAGACCCGAGCGGGAGCTGGTGAAGGAGCAGAGCGAGGCGGCTCCGGGCGTGATCGGGGTCTGAGGGACGCTGTAGCCGTCCACCTCCTCCACCATGCGGAACGCCCGTCCCCTGGCCAACGGGTCCACAATCTGGAGACAAGCGGGTTCAGCGGAGAGGCGTTTGAACGAGCCACAGTTGACCAAATAAGGTCGATTTGACGTAAAAAAGACTGGCCTCAAGAGGAAGGGGAATTTTTGGTCGTGATGCACCTGTGTGCCAGGTTTCGTTTCCATTCAACATACGTACACGAGAGCACGGGCCTCGAATTTGTTGCACACATTCTTTATTTAAAATACGTATTCTAATAAAAACCACCCATGAATTCCTTTACCTTTTGCATGCCATATTGTGAGGAAGGGACGTAGAGAGGAGGCGGCGTTTCCGTGCTGGTTAAGGAGATGTTGTCCTGGCTGGGCAGATCCAGCTCTCGTATCACCTGCGGTTTCAGCTTCCCGTAGCGCAGGCTGCAGTGGCGCAGGCTTTTCCGCTGCCATTTCTGAGTAGAATCGCCGTCCTTACTGACCCCGAACCAGTCTGCTGTTCCCCTAACACCAGAAACACGGAACGCTCAGCTCCGGGTCATGCTTCGCTTTTCCCAGAGAGGCAACATTTCATGGTGACATTTCAGATGTAATGGAACTCATTGATGACCCTCTTAGGAGCCCTGCACGTTGAGGAATAGATCAACCAAACATGAATGGGACCGACAAGACTTCAGTTCTTAGGATGAAGAAAATGCCCGAGGCGGCGGAGGAAGTAACGGGCCCAGTGGAGGCTGGGTATGCTGGGCATGTTTTCCTCCAGACACACTGGGACCGACAGGCGCGCACTGAATGCACCGTGGAGAGTCACAAAGTCTACATGTTCAAAGGAAGAGTGAGCGAGAGAGGACACTGGAATTAGATGCTGCGAAAGAAAGCCAATTTGTTTTCATTCTAATTTGAAATGGACAGCAAACCCAATTAACAGAGGAGATTCTTCTGAGATTTTATCTGCGTCCTACTCCGGCCCCATTTGCGTCCTACTCTGGTCCTTTTCCACCAACAGTTGATAAATACACTTGCAATCTCGCTGTTGAAGCCTAATAGGTACCAGAGCAAACAAAGTTACTGGACCCCGAGGGCAGGAAGTGGAAGTGGAAACAATCTTCAAAAGGAAAGTTCTGGCGGTTTCTACACTAATTACCAGCTGCAGAGTGAATGTTTAGTGAAGTTTTGCAAAAGCCACGTAAGTGGGGGACTTTGTGCTGGTTTCTGGTCCTTTACCCTCTAAATATGTGTCAGTGACAATATTTTACAGCTTGTGTATAGTATATAAGATACGTGGGCCTTTCATTGCAGCGGCGGACATGACCTAGCTAACCGTGATTTCGATGAGTAATGAGTATGTTTGAACATAGTCAAAGCCCAGCAGGCTAGTGTCCATCAAAGAAGCCTTCAGACGTGGGATGTCCGCCCTAAAACACTTACTCAGAACTACTCCTCGTGATGCATGCTACCCCCCCCTCTCAATATAACCGGCTGCCTCATTCCTGCATCTCTGAATAAAGGGGAATTTGTAAAAGGACAGCTTTTGGTTTCAGGTCCTTTTATCACTCACAGCTGCAACAGTTGCAACAGCTGGTGACTGAGAGCGAAACCACAATTATTGGGACTCTTCTGGGGCGGAAAATGAACGCGATTAAAAGAATTAAAGCGACATTGGCGAAATCATGCCATAATTGTGATTGCACGGTAAACATGCAGACAGAATATTCCCTGTTTCCTCATAGAAAACGAGTACTTATACACATCTGACAGTAACACCTCTACAGTCTTGTGAGGGACTTCCTGCCGTACCTGAGCAGGGTTCTGGAGAGCGAATGGTGTTTCCTGATGCTGCGGCGAGCAGCCCGCTGCCCCTTAATGGGGACCGTGTTAATCCGCTCAAAGTGCACCCTTCTGCTGCTGTGACCGGGCCCGGATCGGGGCGAGAAGGGACGAAAGGAAGGAGAAGGAAAGAGAAAAGACAACGAGCAGTGAGAAGGAAAAGTGCAGCTGGACAGTGCTGTAGCCTTCATGCAGAGAGAGAAAAGCAGACTCGTATGTTTAGACCTGGTCCTCGTTGAGATATAGAACATTGGGAAGGTTATTAACAGGCAGATGGCACAAACGGTCATGCAAATTGGGAGTAAAACGGTAAGGAGAGCAGAAACACTGAAGTTAAATGGAAAACGCCATTTAGGCGCCATGGGACACATCGCCAATATCCTCCATTATGTCAGCATTCGCTGCTTGTATTATATGCTCAGCTGAACAGTTCTTTCATTCCAAATGAAATACCAGGATTTAGTCTGAGTAATAGTTTTTACATTACATCGCCTGTATCAGTGATGTAATTTAACAGAATTTTACTGAGCGTGAGAGTAAACGTGTGCATGCACATGAGTTTCCAACAGGGGGATTCCTGGCAGTTTGGGCGGGGAACAAATGCCTGGATCACACTGGACAGCAAGAAGCTTCGGCTGCTTAAACCAAACCAGAGGGCCATGATCACCAACATTATTATTGATAATACTCGACTGGAAAGGGGTGAAATACATTGTTCTAATCGCGGAGCGTGCCACAACGCACTCATGTCAAGACGTTAATGTATAAATCCAGTGCATTGTTCGGTGCGTTTACCTCTTTATGGTCTGAGTGATGGATGACTGGCGTTGTAAGACAGGCCGCCGGGTGTCAAAAAGGTCGCGGGGTGGTGACTGGAGGTGAGAGGTCTCCACTGGCATGCTGATGCTGCGCAGGAAGCCCTGCCTCTTCACGGGCTGTACCGGAAAGGATGCATCGGATAAGTGTGAGCACAGGTCATGACAAAAAAAAAAAATGAAGCGGCGATTCAGTGAGAAAGATCACCTGAACAAAATTGGACGGCTCGTCCAGCGACATCTGAGCCGTGGGAATGTCCAGTCTGAGCCAGGGGGGCTTTTTCCTCTGCAGGCTGCTGGTGCTCTCCCGCCGGGGTTCAGCCATGCTCTCTGTCCCACCCCAGGCCTGCCAGCTACACAGAGGGACAAGATGATGTTCTGCTTTAGAAACCCATTGAAATCTTAATTAACAGCACATATATATAAAATATATATTAGTCTCAATGAGTTTGTGCTGCAAAGCAGTTTCACAAGAGGGTGCTAAGGCCCCGGATTCGATTCAAACATGGGCGTTGACATTGCTCTGTTCATTAGATAATAAAGAGGAAGCCACTGGGGGTAGACCACAGGGGTTTACTCGCCCTTCCCCAAAACAGATTGCAAAGACATTTTTTTTTAAATAAATGAAAGCTAGGAAAGTTTTGAGACTTTCTCAATCCTACAGCTAAAATTATATTGAATCCCTCATAGTGGTTGAAGGTTCCGCATCCAACAGACCTCGATCTAGACTAATGACCTTGCATGCATCACGGCAGCAGGCCTGTGAACCAAAGGGGGAGCACGGTCGAGCTCGCCATCACTGGGTGCAACCCTGTTATCACCAGAACCTTCTTCAATTGTAAACGCACTTATCTTGGCCCCGCTGGTTCATTTCCTGCTTAAATTTCGACAGTGCACAGGATTCGTTGCTCACACTCTTAAATGATCGAGCATTGTGCTGCATAAATATGTGTTTACATTGTTATGCATTTATCTGTGATTAAAACAAATCAGCTGACAGGAGGAATGTACAAAATGATGACTATGAATGAATAATGAAAGAAGCACAAATGTGAAACTTGCAAAAGAGGGTGTCTCCGCAGCTGCAGAGCTGTAAAACCAGATGGGGGAAAAAAAAAAAAAAAACGCTTTTAGGTCTTTGAATTAATTGTGTTTCACAATCGTCATCGTCACACACGTCTTTATGTTGCATCAGGGGCTTTGAGCTTTTCTGCTTGTAGCAGGTCACATCCCCACTTCTCGTGTTACAGATTTAGCTCCACAGCTTTCAGTAACCACATCTGCTTTGCATTGACATTTCATGGCACCACAGGCTTCTGTTTTAGCCAACGTGATGATGGGAAGTGTTTTCAGGGAATGTCAGCAGAGGAAAACCTCAGGCTGAGGGCAGCAGGGGTCAACCGCGACGTGTTAATTTTTAAACATATTCTAGCTCTCGCTGATTGACATTTTGTCAATTCACCAGTTCTCAGGAGCACACTGGTGTTTACTCCATCATACGCGGATATTTCTACCACGTTAAGTCATCGAGCGGGCTACAAGAAGCAGAAAAACTTAGATGGGATGTTTATGAAACACTGGTGTGCATTATCTTTTATTTCAGTCAGTCTGGACAGTCAGGGGTTATTAGACTTTTACATTGAATGTCCTTTGACCTCCACTGACATCGTCTGGACTGTGATACCAGACGATCAAAGCAGATGCAGTCAGAGACTGTTGAAACGGAGATTGATGAAAGGTGGGTGAGGACCAGTAAACAGACTGCAAAGTGACATTTTTTTTGTACATTCGGCTTCACATTTTTTGGTATTATTAAAGAGAGACTAAAAGATAATCTGCCTGTGAATGCTATAAGAATCATAAACGCAAAACCGATATATTCGCTTGTGCCCAACAGGCCACCCTCTTGCCCCTGGCGAGGACACCCGCCCATTTAATTACTTTTTGCAGTTCGCTCAATCAGCGATATGTCAAAATGAGCCTGGCAGAAGATGCCAGAAAAACTCCGCCGCATTAACGCAGCCGCGCAGCTATTGTCATGGTTTTCCATTAGCGGCCCACGGTAAAACCCCCCCGACGCCTGTCCGACAACCGAGCCGAGTGCCTTGAAAGTCTGTCTCCGTCTTTCCCTCTCGTCCTCCTCCAAAGTCAACATGGAAGCTGAGCCGGCATGTGCCTGCAACTCGTGCTCGGGAGGAATTCGGCCGGCGAACAGTTGGCGTAGTTACTGCTCAGACGCGAGCACGACCAACGGCAGCCACCGACTCATTTCTCACGGAGCGCTCGAAATGCCAGTCATTTCTGCCATTGAGTGATAAGATATCACTGCACAGAGAAGGTAAGCCTCAAGGCTGTCCCCCGGTCTGAGAAAGACGCGTCTCCGTGGGCAGAAAGTCCTTCAGAAGACGAGTGTCCTTGGCGGACTGAGAGTTCATTTAATTTCACATTTGGCAATTATCCAGGTTGGAGGATTAGCCTTCACTTCAGCGTGTTATCTGCTCACGGTCAAGTTTGACTGAACGTCTGTTGTTAGGCTTTCCTATTGAAGTAATTCAACCCAATCAAATGCTTTAGAAAATGCACAACGGGGTCTTATCTTACTTTTTTTTGCCCCCTGGTTGAGATGTGGCATGGCAACAATTCTGTGCGTGTGATAGTTCCCTATAGTGTTTACATTCCCAGCACTGATTTCAGGCATACATTCTTTAGACCACAATGATTTAATCTAGCTTCTAAAAAAAAGAAGTTGTTTTTACTTCAAGATTCACATCTGAAAGAGGGAAAATCACCCACACCCATAACGTTGCCCTGCGCCTCGCAGGATTGCTTCCTGCCGCGGTTTGCTTCTTGTGAGAAACTAACACTTCCTACACAATTATAAAGACCCATGTTAACCCCGCATGGGTTGTTTGTAATTATGGGGCTGGCATTGCTTCTCCGGGCGCCTTGTCTCAGTTAGGCAGGCGGGGGAAACAGTCAGGCGGACGGATCATAGAGGACAAGCGGACGTCTTTCCAGGTGAAGGGACGTCCAGCCGGCCATAATGACCGGGGTTGACAGGCATAACCAGCACTCTCCGCCCCCGTCTGGGGAGCCGGGACCTGCTGTAATTCCTTCTGCATACAGACTCCAGCCCGTTGATGTTTTCCATGCCATCATTTAATATAATCACTCCGTAATGGTATCCGGTCATGCAAAGAAAAGGCACCGGTTTATGACAACAGCTGCCAAAAGGTGAGGCTTAAAGGAAAACAGAGGACCGGCTCAGTGGAAGGAGCTCTGTGTGCGAGGGCGGCGGCCATGCTACGGCTTAGTTTTCTGCTTTCTCTAACCGCTCTCAGGATGCTAAGAGAGCATTTTCCCCATTTCCCCCATTCATCATAAATAAAATAGTGATATGGCCATGGCCTATTTTTCTTTTATATTGTATCCGTCATCTAATCTTCAGTTGCCTTTGAACGTAAAGCAAATGAAGGACACACAGATCTTATCACGCATCTCAAAATGTACCCATGGCACAACAATATCACACCTTTTATAAAAAGACTACATATTAAACACGCCTGAGATGGTATTATAAAATATTTGTTTAATCCGCTCTATCCAGAGCCCGTTTGAATCTCAACGCATGCCATACCCACATTCCTGAACATTTGTGGCTGCACCGAGCCAAGCTGAAATGGCAGAGGAGGAAACCACGTGAAGTCTAACCGTTATGGACAGGAGCTGGCTGGTTCCCGGGTACTGGGTGTGCTCTACCGCTGTGCGCTACCCCGAGGAGGCCGGCTGGCTGCAGCTACACCGAGGGTGGCTGACCGAGCTGTGTCATTGGGGCTGACGAAGCCCCGGGGAGGCGAGCCGAGCCCACCGTGGGTCATAAAACCAGGGTTGACAGTAGGTACGAGGATTTGCTGCCTCGCGTGCAACAGTCATGAGTCATGATCGAGGACCTCATCGATCTGGATAGCGAGATAAGGCCTTTAAGGTGCAGCGCTTCCCGGCCTGAAGCCTTTGGTCCCGTTTCATTTGCTCCTTTGTCCACTTTTTCATTTCATTTCATTTTAAAGAAATGATGTTTCTGCAATTCCAGGTTCTAGATTCCGGTCTTGCCTAAATGGCAGAAAGGGCTTATGTTTGGTTTTCCCCATGCTCCAACAGTTAGTCACTCACTGAATGCTTCTACTATCCATTGTTTCTTATGTTTCACTCCATGCTGGAGGCAAGGCTCGACACTGGGAACAATGGAGGGAAACCGGCTATTCACAGTCCGTTGTTATATGTTGTTCTCTCGCTTGCGTAACCAAAACAAAGATCTCGGTAAAGCCGCTTCTCAACATAAGAAGACATACAAAAGCAAATTAGATATTTTATCAAAACAATTTACTATGCAAGACACGCTCCAAGCTACTGTTGTGAAATCAACCTTAAGACCAAGCAGACGTAGTTCCCTGAAGGGGGATTTCATAACGATGAGCAGAACTCATGACCAGAGGAGTTATAGCGAATGGGTGGAGGTATTTTGGAAACATCATCACAGATCGGACAATTCCTCAGAATAGGAGATCGAAACATAAACAGCCCACAATTAACATTACAGAGGCGCGTCTCGTCCTACTGGTATCAGAGGCCCATCTGCGCACTAATCGCAGAGCTATGCGTTTGATCTTTATATAGGACATTGTGCCTCCGACCGGTTTCGACGGAAAAAGCTGATAAAACTACAAAGCTACTGATATTTCATTTGTGTAAAGAGAACAGAAACCGAGACGGGAACAAGCACTAAATCAAGGCTGCAGAACGGACGTTGGTGCCAGGTGACATAAACCGGTTGTGAAAGCAAATTTAGATACAGAATTGCATCTACAATATGATAAATTAAATAATGTATCGGTTGTGTCTCCTTACGGCCGTTATGGCCACTTTTCAGATTCGACTTCCACACACATCGTTCTTCCACAAAAAATTAAATTGAGCTTTCCGAAGTCCGGGCTTAAAGCCTTTTCTTATCTCTCTTCCTTCCCATTATAGGAGGATGAAAATAATCCACAAAAACACAGTCGCAGGCCAGAGAGGGACGTGAAACTGAGCGACAGTAAAGTTGCAGTCATCTGAATTGACTCCAGTGACACGTGACAAGCTGTCACACCAAACCACCTTACGACATCAAAAAACCACACACACACAAACACACACACACACACACATCTCTGAGAGACATCAGAAATATCCGTCGCAGCTGACCCGAAGATCAAATGTCACAGCTATCTGAGGGGCGGCGATGGAGGGCGGGTGGTCGAGGGTGGGCACGGCCGATACGACCGGCCAAGGAAAGGGTGGAGAAGCTCGGGCCTTT